CATCAGGGGAGCCATCCGCCCCAGCAGCAGCGGATCCACAGCAGCAGCCGAGGCACCGACACAGGGCGCCCAGGGCAGGGAGGGAGGAGACCCCCACCTCCACCCAGGCACACCTGGAAAGCACCCAGGCCGCCACAGCTGACCACCGCCCCCAGGGCAGAGGGTACCCATAGAGGAAACACTGGAAAAAGGTTAAGTTAGGGTTAAAATATAAAATCAAAAGAGCTAAAATGAGAATTGTAATATAAAAAGTTAAATAGATATTAAAATAATGTTGATCATAAATCTATGGTAAAAAACTCTGTTTAAAAAGCACGTATAAAGAAAGAATACATAAAATAAATAAATAAATAAATAAATAAATAAATAACCAAATTAATTAATTAAGTAATTAAAAAAGAGATAGTATTCAGTTAAAAGTTGAGCGTCTCCGTATTGGCCCAAGAGAGAATGGGGCGGACTCTGGCGATGTTCTTTAGATGATAAAAACCTATTTTGGTGATATTTTTAATATGATGGATAAAAGTCAGCTTAGAGTCAAAGATGACACTCAGGTTCTTCACTTGTAAAGATGGATTAAGAGACAATGACTGTAATTTTGGTAAAAGTTTCTCTCTGGGCCTCAGGACCGATAACTAAAACTTCAGTTTTGTCCTGGTTGAGCTGGAGAAAGTTTTCTGCCATCCAGGATTTGATGTCTAAAATGCAATTAAAAAGTGTGTCCAATGGCCATGTGTCATAAGGAGATGTACAACTGTGTATCATCAGCGTAACTGTGGAAATTTACCCCATGTCTCCTGATGACACTGCCAAGAGGGACCATAAAAAGGTTAAAAAGCACTGGGCCTAAAAGTGAACCCTGGGGCAGACCACATGTAAGCCCATGAACCCTAGAGGAACGGGTATCTAGACTCACCATAAAAGTCCTGTCTGTGAGGTAGGAAGTGAACCATCTGTGGACAGCACCAGAGAGGCCGATCCGTTTCAAACGAGTTAAAAGAATAGTGTGGTCTACTGTTTCAAACGAGTTAAAAGAATAGTGTGGTCTACTGTTTCAAACGAGTTAAAAGAATAGTGTGGTCTACTGTGTCAAAGGCAGCACTAAGATACAGTACAACCAACACAGTCACCCTCCGTTTATCATAATTTACTCTAAAATAATTTAAAATCTTCAGAAGGGCCGTCTCAGTGCTCTGGTTCACCCTAAAACCAGACTGAAAAATTTCAAAGACATTATGGGTGTTGATAAAATCATTAAGTTGAATTAAAACAAGCTTTTCTAAAGTTTTGCTTAAAAATGGTAAGTTGGATACCGGTCGATAATTGTTTAAATAATTAAAATCTAAATTGTTCTTCTTCAGACAGGGGCCTCACCACTGCCCGTTTAAATGCGGCAGGAAAGACCCCTGTCTGAAGGGAGCAATTCATCATAGTTAAAACCTCATCTCTAAAAGAATCATAAAATTGTTTAAAAAGCCTAGTGGGAATAGGCTCCAGGACACATGTGGTGGGTCTCACTGAGGAGAAAACTTTATCAAGACTCTCAGCTTCAACCAGAACAAAACTGTCAAGTGTTTCCTCAGGTAGACACACACTCTGAGATATGTCTAAAACCATGTTATGTTGAGAGGATAAAATGTTAGATCTGATGATGTCTACCTTCCCTCTGAAGTGGGCTGCAAACTCCTCACAGAGAGTGTTTGAGGGGGTTTTCTGAGTTGAGTTTATGTTGGAGTTGAAAATATTGATTGTGGAGAAAAGAATTTCAGGGTTATTTTTATGGTCTGAGAGAAATTTGGAAAAGTATGCATTTCTTGAAATTCTTACGGCATTATTGTATGTTTTAAGTAATTCCGAATATATCTGATGATTTATTGTTAATTTGTTTTTCCTCCATCTCCTCTCCGCCACTCTGCAATTTCTCTTTAGTTTCCTTAGGTTTTCATTTCTCCAAGGTGATGTATGATTTGACTCTAAGTTTTTGGTTTTGAATGGAACAAGTTAAGAGCTGTCTCAAATCTTCTTTTAAAATCATTGATAATGGCATCACAAGGGGCGGAGACGTTAGTAAGCGCTGCTGTCTGGTTCCAGCACGTTCCTGCATGTCTTAGATCACGAACACAGCTGATTTGTCTAAGTTAGGGATGACTCACTCCTGTAGACCCCAAGGAAGGCTGGGAGACATTTCAACTGTTAGAATAAGGTGTTAAAAAGACGAACGAACAGCGAGGAGATTTCAGTTTGGTTCCACAAACAGGCAAGCCAAAACTGCCTAGTTCCCCTTTAACTGCCATTCATTCTTTTACAAAAATGGACTTTATTTCGCTAATAAATACAGAAAATCACTGAAATGTTATGTTGACCATGAGCTTTAACATGTCTTTACCTTTAATAAGACACAATCTTATTTTATAATATATTGAATCTATTTTTGATATTAATCATGTGTTTTAAGTTAAGAGCTGTCTCGAGTCTTCTGTTAAAATCATTGATAATGGCATTACAAGGGGCGGAGACGTTAGTTGGAGGGATATTGTTAAAAGTTTCAAGAAAACCAGAAGCCACTTCAGGAGTTAGATGACGCTTCGTTACAGTTCTCACAGAGGGCCCACATTTGATAACGCGGTTGATGTTAAAAAATACGCAATAGTGATCGGACACTGCCAAGTCAACAACCGAGGACACACCAGTGGATAGGCATACATGATGACCAAGTCCAGGTGAGTTGGCTGCGTGACATGTTAGGTAAAATCCATATAATTCAAGATGTTTAAAAAATCTGTGACTAAAGGGTCTAAAAGGTCATCCACGCACAGATTAAAATCTGCAGCTAAAATTATTTATAAAATACATTGCATTCACCCGCAAACAAACACACCTCCAGCTTAAATTCATCCATTCACAAGGTTGCTATTTAATACCAAAGTATTTCATACCAAAGCTTTTATAAATTGTCTTTTAAATTGTCATGTTTTAAATTGTTTAGTAATAAATTTCTTAACTTTTTAAACTTGACTCTACATTGAAATAAACACAGAGTGAGTGTATATTGATCACTGAAAGAACAAAGATCTTTAGATCTTCTGAATCAACAAATAACTGCTATTAATTTAAATCTTTAAAATTAAATATTAATCTTTTGATTAAACATAGACCAAGCAAGTTGGTGTATGAATTTCTATCCAATATATAAATATTTATGTACATATATATATATGTACACAATTTCATTCATCAATATGTTTGATCTCTTAGGAATTAAAACATAGGCTGAAAAGCAACAGCCTTTAATTCCTAAATATGTAGTTTATCAACGCTACAACGACTTCAGATAAGCGGAAGAAAATGGATGGCTCAACCAAAATTGATGAACGCAAATGTATCGATGAACCCACTGACATTGTGACATATACACATTTATAATACGGCTGCAACAAAAAATTGATAAAATCGATGACAAAATGCGCTGGCAATGCATTTCGTCATCGATTCGTTGTGTTGCACAATTTTTTTTGTATTGCGCAAGCTTTATTTAACAGTCAATGCGCGCAGCCAGCTCATGTGTAGGAGGCAACAGAGCTGACCCAAGGCACATCAAAACAATAGAAAGCCAGTGTTTGTTGAGGAACAGTAAGTTGCTTACTGACACACTGTGTGCTAAAGTAGGTGCTGTCACTGCTGTGGAGGAAAACAGAAACCAGCAAAGACACAAAGGCGGAAACGGTTTGGGATCAAAAGTGCAACTACGGGCACATTAGCTAATGCTAGCGAGTAGCAGGCTAATGATCAAGTGGGTTCCAGAAAAACATGATGGTCGTGAAACTAAGGACGTCTAAACTCTACAAGAAGAAAAGTCCTCACCATTCTGTTTATTCTCAGCTTTCTGCAGTGCTATGGAGCAGAACCACTGCAGTCAGGTTCAAGTCTACTCTGCCATAATCCGCTGCAGGAATATGGCAAGCCACTGTAGCATTTAATTCACAAACGCGCCTGAACGCAATGTCAGTTGGATTGTTGCCAGCCTGCACATAATAAATATGTTACCATTACATTCTTTTCGCAGTAGAAATAAATATTAGTAGCATTTCCAGTAGCTTACTGAACATGTTAATGAAATACATTACATTTTACTGATCATAGTTTAATTATGGATATATTTAGGTGACAGCATGTTGTTTTGCACGCTATTGAACTGTTTTTTAATCGTGTTTTGTTGTTAAATAAAGTAAAAGAAGGAGAGAAAAAGTGTTTCCCTTGCCATTTTTAAATGTTCTCGTTTAATGCGATTAATCGAGTCGAGACCCCATCCAATTAATTGATGATCCAAATAATCGTTTGTTGCAGCCCTAATGTATAACAAATAGACCGGGCTGCATGTTGGCCCAGCTGTGGGTTTGCCTCCCATCTAACTACACTGAGTTTGAATATGTTTTTTTCTCTGGTTAACTATATGACTCCATGTTGTGAATTTTGATTACATGGTTACCGAAACCTGCACTGACAGTCAAACATGAATGAGTTAATTGTCCTTATCTTCTATCACAGTGAATCTACATCCTGGTTCAGGTCTACACAGACCAGTTGCTGGGGAGTTTTACCTCCGCCCAGGAGCTGACGCTATGCAGTCCTGCTGCTTTCTGCTGACCCCTGAGAGGACTTGTAAAGTGCTTCTTTGATGCCTTCTAGGAGATGTTATCAAACTCTAGGAAGTCTGCGCTCTCTCTCTCTCCTCGGGTGTGCAGCACTCATAAAACTGCAGGAATAGTAGGAACGTGTTTGCGACTGCTGTGGAATGGAGTGGGGAACAGTGTCTGTGATTGTAACTTCAGGGCCCCACAACCGCTCTGAAACCCAAATCTCCCCCGGAGTGGATTTTGTGAGGGAGGGTCTCTTTCTGTAGATCCTCTGTCCAGAACGGCTACGCCCAATCAGAGGGGAGATGTTTTTCATGTAATTTGTAATGATGGTATGGATCAGATAAGCATGAAGAAACATGGAGAGCAGGTTTAAAGAGAAACTACAAAGTTTTGCAAAAATACAAAACAAAATCAGTGGGTTAAATATTTAGTAAATTAGTACTTAGACTTAACCATAGATCAGAATAATGTTGGATTTAAACGCCTGGAGGTAATGTTGCTACGTCAGTGTGTTTTCCGAGGAGGGGGCTGGTGTTATTTCAGTGGGCCAACATGGCAAATAGGCGGGGTTAATTGGACCATTCGGGAGTGAAATGCTTTGAGCTGACATGGTTGGAGTCAGAGAAAATGGAGGTGCAGCTTTGCTTCATGTAGGCTCTGGATTTTCTAACTCCAACCAAAGTGCTCCACGGGTCAGCTACATCCGATAAGAAGATTTTTTTCTGCCTGCACAATGTTTTGCTGACAATCTATGAAAATCTAGCAAATACTTGGCATCAAAGAAGCCATGGCAACGACAGCGCTGACCGGTTTCTCTGTGATGAGCCTACTTAGCCTTGGGTATCTGAGCTGGGATATGATGAGCCCTAACCAGGTGGAAAATCAGCCTGGCCAAACTTTTTATGACAGCTCTTCTGTCCCACACCCTCCTCATATAATCTTTATCATGACAGATGACCAAGGGTTCAATGACATCGGATATCACAGCTCCGACATTAGGACGCCGGTGTTGGATAAACTGGCTGCGGATGGAGTGAAGCTGGAGAATTATTACGTCCAACCCATCTGCACCCCTTCCAGGAGTCAATTCATCACCGGCAGGTAGAGCGCCAATCTTCAGGATCAGTTGTTTTTATTGATACAATCACAAAAGTGATTTCTGAGATTTGCATTAGCGTTTCATGCTTTAAAATAACAGAAACAATAAATCTTCTTTAAACTGTGATTTGACCTTTATCATTAATCAGTAGAAATGTTTTATGAAGCTATTTACATTAGAAGTCTTAATTAGTTGGGTAATGAGTGGGAAGTGACAAACAACATGTTTCTGCTCGTGGGACATTAAATGTTCTTATTTTATTTGTAAAGTAATATTTTAAAAGTACAAATTCAAGCTAAACATGAATCCCAAAAATGAGGTTTGGCATAGTTTTCTCTAAATGTAGTTTTCTAAATATAATTGGGATTCATTTGAAATAAAAATCAAACAGACAAAAGTGATTTTCATACATTTAGCACCTGTTAAAAATAACAAAGATGTGAATTGCTGCATGACTCAGGTCCTGTTTAATGCAGACAAGGTATATATTTGCTTTAAACTGTTATTTTAATCTTCCTTTGCATTAAAACAAGTTAAACAACATTTTAATTGCATTTTTGGTACACTTTTTTTATTTAAAAGTATATTTTGCTATTTTTTTTCATATTTTAAAATATTTTAAAATGATCCTTTACAGAGTTGATGAAAGGCCACCCAGCCCCTATCGCCCCCTGTGGCCAGAATATTCCACTTGTAATTTCAGGCGGCCGCTCTGTTAGAAAAGACTGAGCTGACATACCAAGCGCTGCTGTCTGGTTCCAGCACGTTCCTGCATGTCTTAGATCATGAACACAGCTGATTAGTCTAAGTTAGTGATGAATCACTCCTGTAGACCCCAAGGAAGGCTGGGAGACATTTCAACTGTTAGCATAAGGTTTTTAAAAGACGAATGAACAGCGAGGAGATTTCAGTTTTGGTTCTACAAACAGACACTAGGGGGTGCTAAAAGCAAGCCAAAACTGCCTGGTTCCCCTTTAACTGCCATTCATTCTTTTACAAAAATGATTTTTATTTCACCAATAAACACAGAAAATCACTGAAATGTTATGTTGACCATGAGCTTTAACATGTCTTTACCTTTAATAAGACACAATCTTATTTTATAATATAATGAATCTATTTTTGATATTAATCATGTGTTTTCTTATGTCCGGGATTCATTTTAAAATCATCAGGTACCAAATTCACACTGGCCTCCAGCACTCCATCATCTGCCCCCGCCAGCCCAACTGCCTGCCCTTTGACCTGGTCACCCTCCCCCAGAGGCTCCAGCAGCTTGGTTACTCCACCCACATGGTGGGCAAGTGGCACCTTGGCTTTTACAAGAAGCAGTGTCTACCCACTCGTCGTGGCTTTGACACGTACTTCGGCTCCCTGACAGGAAGCGTGAACTACTACACCTACGAGTCCTGTGACGGTCCCGGACTCTGTGGCTTCGACCTCCACGAGGGAGAATCTACCGCCGGGAGTCACAAAGGCAAATATTCCACTCATCTGTACACACGAAGAGTCCGGAAGATCCTGGCGACTCACAATCCTCTGTCCCAACCACTCTTCATCTTCCTCTCGTTCCAAGCTGTTCACACACCCTTACAGTCTCCGCGGGAATACATCTACCCATATCGAGGGATGGAGAACATTCCACGTAGGAGGTATGCCGCGATGGTCTCAACCGTGGACGAGGCTGTTCGGAATATAACATACGCTCTGCGAAAGTATGGGTACTATCAGAACAGTGTGCTTATTTTCTCCACTGATAATGGTGGCCAGCCTCTTTCTGGTGGAAATAACTGGCCTCTGAGAGGACGCAAAGGCACATACTGGGAAGGGGGTGTCCGAGCTTTGGGGTTTGTCCACAGCCCTTTGTTACGGAAAAAGAGAAGAGTGAGCAAAGCATTGGTCCACATCACTGACTGGTACCCCACTCTGGTGGGATTAGCAGGTGGTAATGAGTCCCTGACTGAAGGGGTGGATGGATTTAATGTCTGGAAAGCAATCAGTGAAGGAAAAGAGTCACCCAGGTGGGAGATCCTTCACAACATCGACCCTTTATACAACCATGCACGCTGCGGCTCCCTGCAGAAAGGATTCGGGATCTGGAATACAGCTGTTCAGGCCTCCATACGAGCAGGAGACTGGAAACTCCTGACAGGAGATCCTGGATATGGCGACTGGATCCCGCCTCAGATTCTTCCAGGTTATCCCAGCAGCTGGTGGGTCCTGGAACGCCACATTAAACCACGACAATCTGTGTGGCTCTTCAACATCTCCCGGGATCCCAACGAACGCTTTGATATGTCAGAGCAGAGACCAGATGTCGTGAAGGAGCTCTTAGCCAGGCTGGTGTATTACAACCGGACTGCGGTACCGGTAAGGTACCCATTAGAGGACCCGCGGGCCCATCCCCACCTGAATGGGGGTGCCTGGGTCCCCTGGGTGGGGGATGAGGAAGAAGACAAGTGGGACAGTGTTTACCTGAAACAAAACACAAAGTGGAGGAAGAAACTCACGCTGATCAACAGTAGATTGTTTTTCAGAAAACTCAACAAAAGAATTATGTCCAACCGAATATAGAAACAAAATAATGGAATAAAACTGACACCGCTTAATTCTGTTTACATAGAGAACAGTGACAGATATGTTTCTATTAAAGCGGTATTTTTGAGCTGCAGCTTAATCTTTACTTTATCCAAAACACAATTTAATGCTTCAAATGACTTGTATTCTTTCAGTTTTAAAATGTGTCTTCCTAAAAAGAATCTAAAAATAAAACATTAAAAGTATTCGAGTGAACGACTGTTTCAGAGCAGCTAGAAAGGTGTACAAAGCATGACGGAAGTTCAGAAAACAGATAAATGTGCTCTGGTGAATGAAAATGTGTGTCATTGCTTTTGAAGCTTTGTCTTGTCTTTTCTCTAAATTTAACTAAATATCCTGAGCATCAGGATGCTAATGGGGTCAGACCCAGAGTAATTTATCCTTGAGTAGCCCAAACGCACAATTACGGTGAAAAAAGGAAATAGAATTTTAATTTGTATGTCAGCAGTCAATGATACCTTTTATTGAACCATTGTCTTTTAGGAATATGTAGTCGGCTTGTTGCATCTATAATCCCCCCTAAGTGTGAGCTAGTGAACTATTATGTCTCAATGCATGTTTCTATACATCCTTGTGATGGTGTTCTGGTGACATGGCCAGAGTGTGCCCTGCCTCTCACCCCGTGACAGATGGAGATTGGCGCCAGCCCCTACAACCCTACTGAAGAATAAGTGATGTAGGAAATGAATGAAAGAAAATTCCAAGGGCATGCCTAATACAAGCTAAGTGTTACAACAGGAAGAAAAGAAAGTGAGAAATGGCAGAGTGGTACTCCGTTCGCTTGCACTCAGATAAGAAGATGCCTTCTCCGGGTCAGGGATGAGGTCCTGCCCCAAGTGGAGGAGTTTAAGTATCTCGGGGTCTTGTTCACGAGTGAGGGAAAACTGTAGTGTGTGATCAAATTTAAATTCAAATTCAAAAATACTTTATTAATCCCAGAGGAAAATTAGATAGGAAGATTGGTGCTTCATCTGCAGTGATGCGGGCGTTGTACCGGTCTGTTGTGGTGAAGAGAGAGCTGAGTCAGAAGGCGAAGCTCTCGATTTACCGCTCGATATTCGTTCCTACCCTCCCCTTTGGTCATGAGCGTTGGGTAGTGACCGAAAGAACGAGATTGCGGATACAAGCGGCCAAAATGAGTTTTCTCCGAAGAGCGGCTGGGCTCTCCCTGAGAAGCTTGGTCATCCGGGAGGGGCTCGGAGTAGACCCGCTGCTCCTCCACATTGAGAGGAACCAGTTGAGGTGGCTCAGGCATCTGGTCAGGATGCCTCCTGGACGCCTCCCTGGTGAGGTTTTCCGGGCACGTCCAACTGGGAGGAGGGCTAAAGGTCGACTCAGGACACGTTGGTGGGACTATGTCTCTCACCTGGCCAGGGAACGCCTTGGGATTCCCCCGGAGGAGCTGCCCACGTGGCTGGGGAGAGGGAAGTCTGGGCATCTCGACTTAGGCTACTGCCCCCGCAACTGAAATGGATGGATGGATGGATGGATATTCATAGACAACTCAGACAAAAACAATGAAACGTTTTTAATGGTTGACTCTTTGCAATTTTACAAAACAAATATTTAGTCCAAATCCTCCAAACTTATATATTAATGTTTAAAGGTGTGGATGACTGAAAAAACATTTTTTAAATGTTAAAAATGTTTTATTGACAATAGCACAATAGAAAACTTTAAGAACACCTTAAATGAGTTACCTGTGTCCATGAGGTCACAAACAGACGATCTAGTGATACATTTCTATTTAAAACGAGAAAACATAATGGATCAAGTTGCACCTGTTAAGACTAGATGCATAAAACAAAGTACCAAAATGATTGAGCTTACTGCCTGATAGAGGTGCAGTGGTGGAGTCATCCGTCAGAAAGAAGACGTCTGATTTCTTGTTTATCCTCACTCAAGCTCTAGTGCTATAACGCAGTGCAAAGCAACTCTACCAACAGTAATAATGTTATGCTTGTGATTTTTTATCTATATTTCCTCCTAAAACAATAAAAAACATACAGTAAAAACATTCTTGTTCACTCTTTTGCAGCAAGCTTATTTATCACTTCTGAAAGTTATGTAAAAAGATGTACTCTCACTCAGTTTAACCATCTTTTATTTGAGGTAGTTTAGTCCTCATAATGGAACATAAGTTCTGTCGATTTGAAAATATTAGCTCTTGATTTTTTTTAAAATTATTTATGTTCCGATTTTTATTATTATGCCCATTTTGATCAGATTTAGAGGGTTTCAAATAAATAAATTCGGACTCTTGCACACATTTGGCATTGAAACGTTAGTGTCTCTAGTCTTTTGATTATTGCACCAATTAAAAACGTTACTCACCCGAGTGCTCCAGCTTCCTTACTTTCTTCATTTGATTGTGCTCCAGCTGTGTGAGCACCGGCGCAGTGTTTGACGCGCAAAGCGCCGCATTTAATCATTAAAATAATGGTTGCATTTTAAAGTGATTGGTGGCAGATGGCTCCTGAGACAGGTTCTGTTGGAGGTTTTTTCCTGTTAAAGGGGAGTTGTCCTCTCCACTGTTGTTACATGCTTACGTAGTATGGAGATTGCTGTAAAGTCTCTCTGACACAACAAGTCGGCGACTTGTTGTAATCTTCTGGGTTTTCCCTACATAGGAAACTTTTAACTAAGTGACACAACGAACTGAACTTAGTTGGGATGTTTACTTTGTGAAGTGCCTTGAGACACCTCAGGTTGTGATTTAGAGTTTTATAAATAAACTGAATTAAATGAAAATAAAAATTCGCCTCACCTCACCCTCACAACTTGGCTTGTCCAGATGTTGTGCCTCTACTGTTTCTGGCATTGAACAGCCACCTCTAGTGGTGGCCCTGCAACACATCATGACTTGGTTGGAGTAAGTCTTTCCTCTGCTGGCTCACAAAGATGCTTGTGTTTTTTGAGGTTCAACATATGCAAGCAGAATATTTTACCTGTTCTCATTAGAAACATCTTCTGAACCCAATAAAAATAACCCTCAACTGAAATCTTGAACCGCCAGAATTTTTTTTTTTATATAATCAATCAACAAAGAAAGGCAAAAGCTGAAAATGTCATCTAATATTAATGCAGGTTCTTTTGTAATAAACAATTCACACCTTCATCTCTTATTGTCACCACATCAACAGTTGGGCATCCCTCATTATGAGTGATCAACAGCTGCACAGAAAGGTGAATGTGCTCACCTGCTCACCATGCATGCACTGCTGTAATCCTTACTTCTGTTCGAAGACATAATTAATTAGATGTCAAAGTTTCTTTAACAACGAGCGATTGCAACATGTGGTATTTTTCTCCAAGCTCAAATAGCATTTCTAACACTGTGTTTGCATGGAGAAGTGAGACAGTTGACCTCATTTCCTTCCTTTTTACAAATATCATACCACACCTTTTGGGTTTCCGTTTAGTTTGTGGCACAACCTGATGCACGGAAAGACTGATGACAGATGGCATTCTGAATTTGTTTGCATTTTATGATTTTTTGGAGGTTGAAGCAAATGACAGAGGAGTATGGAGCAATTTCTTCTTCTTGCGATGTTAGCAGTGGGAACTCACGGTAAGATCTCCTCAAGGAAACGCAAACAGATCGTTGCTGTGGTGTAACTGATGCCTGTCTACTTATGTGCTTTTAAATGCAGGATTTTCAGCGTGGTTCCCAGTTCCTGAGACCAAATGTGATTTCACCCATAACACATCCCTACCATGCGCTCCTGTTGTTGGAGGAACCGTGTTCATCAGACTGAAGGCCAATATCACCGGCTACCAGCTGAATTGTTTCAAAAATCAGGAAAAGCTGTTTTCTTTTAAAAAGAACAAGCTGACGTCCATGGCTGCGTATGTAAACAGAACAGAGTTTTTAATCAGCAATGGGACACTCAAGTTCACCAGTGTGGAGAAGAGTGATTCAGGTCAATACCGTGTGGAGGTGTTTGATTCTGATGGAAAACATGCACAAGACATCAAATTTAATCTTGAAGTTAAAGGCAAGTGATGCATCTTTATTTACTTTAAGCAATTCATCAAGATGACTGCAGTCTCATTCAGCATTAATCAAAGCCGTAAAGATTACATGTGTGCAGTGACAGGAAATGGCTGTGGTTTAACTGCCTGTTTTCATTACGTTGAAGCTCTTACTAACACATAAATCACTGGTGTTCCAAAAGCCATAAAACAAACAAGGTAACCCTCACCGAACAACCTCCTATTTTATTAAACAAGCACATGTTATATATTGTGAATAAAGAAACAGGAATTTACAATTATCCTTTTTAAAATTTCATTTTAAGTCATAACAATAAATGTCTGCATGTGTGGTCAAGCTTATATGTGGTAAATATGAATACTACATTGGCAGTATTTTCCTATTTTTAATGGTATTTTTCTGTTTTATTTCTTCAGAAAACATCTATCCTATTGTGATCCTGGTCTGTGTGGGCCTGGGTGCCCTCCTGATTGTGTTGCTGTGTTGCTGTGTGTGCTGCAAAGTGAAGCGTCGCAGGAAGTCAGGAAAACGTCAGGTAATCATTTGAAAAGCTTTCTGATAAAAACTACTAATAAACAATGGCATATTTTTATGCAAAAAAAGAAAAAGAAAAAAACAATTGTCAGAGTTAAAATATTAACATTTGTTTTTGATTTGTGCAGGTAAAGGATACTAAAGAGTTATCATCTTTAGACTAGAATGACTTCAGCTCAGGGTAAACATCATCATCGTCATCATCATCATCATCATCATCATCATCATCATCATCATCATCATCATCATCATCATCATCATCACATCACATCATCACTGTTGTTATTGTTGTCGTTTTCATCACCATAGTCTCCATCAAATACCAAACGAAAGACATGAGAACAAAACCAAATAAGCTGGACTTTGACCACAGAGTGAAGTTAGTTCATGAAAACTTATTTTTTATAAACATTTGCTTAAAAAAACTTGATTCTGATGCTTTTTTTGCTCTTCATTCTCATTCTGTGGTCTTTGCTTATGAATCTGGCTTTCATGCCAAGTTGTTGATCTACTGTGATGTAAACGATCCATTCTTGTAACTGATATTCAGAAATTCATCTACATTTTGGTTTCTGTACTTGTCTATTTTGCATTAGAGCTACAACCATTTACTTGGTTTATTCAGTTGATTTATTTGTGTTTTATAGTGAGCTGTTTTTTGCATAATACCAAATATAATTTTGTTTATTAAAATTTTTTGCAATTTCTTATAAACTAAATTAAAACTGTTCCACAGTTAACAAAACCTAACATTCTAGGAGCAAATAGCCAACTATAACCACATAAACAGCTTTGTGCTTTTTGCAAAACATTACACACACATACAGTTTTTATACTAAAATATTTAATAATGCTACATCCTAACACCAAAGCACAGACTTTGAAATGAAGCTGAATAATTTTAGTGAATCTCTAAAATCCGTCACAGTAAGAGAAATAATGATTTCCGCTGGTGCCATGTAGTGATGGTGAAATAACTTTCTCTGTGTAAATGCTACATATGTTTTAAGATCAGTACCGGAGTGTCAATGATTAAAACAGTTTCACATCATATGTTGTATGTGTTTTGCAGAGACAATAATACTCATGTGTTTCATTTAAAAAAAAAATCTGAGGTATTGTCCTAATTGTGTGAAGCATTATGAGAAATCAAGCCCTGCATTCAAAATTGTGCTTAAGGAAAACAACCCTGTCACATTAGGTCGAAAAAGAAGCAGGTCAACAGGATTTAGTTGCATCATAGTGATGGGAAAATATCTTCATTCTCAAAACAACTTCCTGACATTTTAATGTGTACCTGTACTAGTTATCATGGAGACAAAATAAATGAAGAATGGACAGGAAGTTGTATGTCTGCATTTGTGTGTGTGTGTGTGTGTGTGTGTGTGTGTGTGTGTGTTTTGAGGGGAGGGTGGATTGTTCTTGTGGCGAACTCTTCCCCTTTGTAGCTGGAGCTTAAAGCTCTTTGAAGGTTTCTGACTTAACATTCAGTGCATGTTTGTTAAAGTAAACCAGAGTGACTATTTTGATTATTGCACTTCCGTGTAGATGTGTCTGTTTTGACTTTGTTTCTGCATTTATGGACGCATTAATGAATGGTTGTATATGTGGGGTCTGATGGCCTCTGTTATGTTGTAAAGATGTAACGTTTGTTATTTCACTTTTGGATGTTTCTGGCTGAATAAAGGCAGTAACCTAGTGGTACTGGACCACAGTGATCATTTTTTATGTCACATGTAGGGATGGGTACCTTTGACATTTGAATCGATCCGGTAACAATATTTGATAAATATCACGATAAATAACATTCAACTGTTTGCATTTTAACATCGTCCTTGTAGTTTAATAAGCTGATAATTAAACTGAAGCAAACATCTTTACTGTGAACTAAATTTACTGTGTATCTTCATTCCTTTTACCGTCCTTTTTCATTTTTCCTTTCCTAACTTTCCTACTGGGAAGTCAGAATTTCTGAGGAGAAAGCGAACGCACCATTAGCTGATAACAATGGTAGCAATGGAAGCTAACATACCAAGCTAACGTTATCTTAAACAGTTTATTTAGCTGCTGGAGCAGATTAAAACGATGATGCCTCACACTTAGATCGTTGTCACTGGATTTGTCTTCACCCGTCACATTTAGTAAAGTGAAGCCAAACTTTAGAGCGCGTTCATGTTCTTCTAGTCGGGAATTCGGAGTTCCGAGGAGAAAGCGAACGCACCATTAGTGAAACGGAAGCTAACATATCAAGCTAATTATATTTACCTACCGGAGTAGATTAAGATGAGGATGTCTCACTTAGATCGTTGTCGCTGGTTTCATCATCACACAGTTACCCATCACATTTAGTGAAGTGGACCCAAGCTTTAGCCTGCGTTCTTTCTACCATGCTGCTCTGTTTACAACTGGTTCGCAGCGAGCGACGACATAACGCTCTTGCGCATGCGCAGCTGTCTTGGCAAGTTCTCGTTATGATGGACGGGTACCGAAACGAGGCACCGTTTGAAATGAGGTGAATCGGTGCTCGGTCGGTACTATGGAATTCGGTCGGCACCTTAAAAAGTACCGAATTCGGTACCCATGCCCATGTGCAGATTTAGTATCTTGATGTGGGACCACTTTGTGTGACCATTTGTATTGCCTTACATGGCATTCATGCAGGATGACAGGTGTTGTATTGTTCATAATGTTTGCATGCCATACATATTGGCCTACGTGTTTGCCGTAGTTGCTACCGGAAGCGGGGGTGGTTATGTGGTTCCGACGAGCGGTAAATAAAGTAAAATGGTGGTTCATGAAGCGGTCTAAGAAGAATTATTTATAAGTTTGAGAACAGAACATTTCATGGTGTCAGAGTAAATTGAACTAAACGCCCACTGTCAGCGCGAAAAATGGATTCGTCAGGAGTTCCTGCACCACGGATGGACTGGGATTCAGCTAATCTTCCCGATGCCTGGCGGAGGTTCGTACAACATGTGAAGCTAATGTTTAGCGGCCCGCTAAGCGGCAAGTCCGAGGAGACCCAGTGCAGCTATCTCCTTCTGTGGGTAGGAGAAAGAGGCAGAGACATTTATAACACATGGCAGCTATCTGAGGAGGAAGCTAAAGAGCTGACCACCTACCTCGACAGGTTTGAACAGTACCTCATGCCTAAAACGAACACCATTTTTGCCAGATACAAGTTTAACGAAAGGCTCCAAGGTGAAGGGGAGTCATTTGAACACTTTGTGACGGAGTTAAAGCTACTCGTCAAGCAGTGCGGCTATGAGAACAGTGATGAAATGGTCCGTGACAGGATTGTCTTTGCAACCAGTTTCCCACAAGTCAGAGAAAAACTGCTGAGCCAAGGGTCAGATTTAACCCTAGAAAAAGCCATAGACATGGCACACTCATATGAGATCGCACAAACCCAATTGAAAGCCATGGTCGACCCACACACAAACCTGCAGGGAGCAGCGTCTGCGCATGCAGTATCCACTAAGCGCCAGAGTACGCAGCAGAAACATAGGAGGGCACCTCATCACAATAACATGGGAAAAGTGTGTGGAAGATGTGCACGAGCACACAGTCAGAAGGAGGAGTGCCCTGCAAAAGGGAGGAGGTGCAAAAAGTGCAATAAAATGAACCACTTTGCCAAAGCATGCCGTTCAGAAGCACCAAACCAACGCAACCCGGTGTGTTCTATCAACCCTGACACTCCAAGCGAGGAAGCAGAGCTATTCATAGATTCCATAACAAAGTGCAATGAAGGGGAGGCTGATGAACAGGCTTACGCTGACGTAGAAATAGGCTCATGTCATCACACCGTGAGATTTAAGCTTGACACAGGAGCCACTGCTAACGTCATCCCTGCCCGATTGTTTAAGAAACGTTTCAAGCAGGTCAGCTTGGCACCGCCCACACGCACACTATCTGGCTATGGAGGTGAAAAACTCAACATCATAGGCACCTGCCAGTTGAAGTGCAGATGGAAAGACATTCACAAGATGCTGACCTTTGATATAGTAGAAACTGCAGCGCCTCCCATCCTAGGGTTGAGAGCATGCCTATATCTAAACCTAGTCAAGCTGGTCATGTCAGTGCAGATCACAGGCGTCATGGAGGAGTTTGCTGATGTGTTTAAAGGCATAGGGAAATTCCCAGGAGAATGCGACTTACACATTGACCCGGACGCCACGCCCGTCGTGTGCCCCCCACGGAGAATCCCTTTCACACTGCGGGAACGACTGAAACAGGAGCTGGACGACATGGAGAAAAACGGCATAATCATCAAAGTAAAAGAACCCACAGAATGGGTAAACGGACTGGTGGTCGCAGAGAAACGTAATGGGAATCTCAGAGTGTGCCTTGATCCTCGAGAGTTAAACAAAGCCATCAAAAGACCCCATTACCCGCTTCCAACACTGGATGACATCACACCAAAGCTGGCAGGAGCTCAGTACTTTAGTGTCATGGATGCTCACTCCGGCTATTGGGCCATCCAGTTAACCACCAAGTCATCGCTCCTCACCACATTCAACACGATCTTTGGCAGGTACCGCTTTCTGTGCCTTCCTTTTGGGATAATATCAGCACAGGACATTTTCCAAAGGAAAATCAATGAGACATATGAAGGGCTCAATGGGGTGGTAGCCAATGTGGATGACATCCTCGTGTTTGGCAGGACAAAGGAGGAACACGACGACAACCTCCGTGCCATGCTCGAGCGCACAAGGGAGCGAGGAGTGCGTCTCAATCCAGAGAAATGTGTCATAGGAGCCACAGAGGTTAGTTACTTTGGACACAAACTCACCCGCGAGGGCATCCAGCCAGACCCAAAGAAACTGCAGGCCATAAAAGACATGCCACCTCCTGAGAACAAGAACGAGCTCGAGACAATTCTGGGAATGGCTAATTACCTGTCCAGATTTGCACCACGGCTATCAGAAGTAAATGCACCACTGCGTCAGCTGCTAAAGCAAGATTCGGAGTTCATATGGGACCAGAATCACAACAGAGTCTTCCAGCAAATGAAAGACCTCATAACCAGAGAACCAGGCCCCATACTGGCATACTACGACACGACCAAGGAGATACGGCTACAGGTAGATGCATCGAAGTATGGTTTGGGAGCTGTGTTGATGCAGGACGGACACCCAATAGCATATGCTTCAAAGACACTGACCCCAACAGAGGTTAACTACGCACAGATTGAAAAGGAGCTCTTTGCGGTGTTGTTTGGATGCAAGCGTTTCCACACCTACATATGCGGCAGAAGAGTCCTTGTCGAGTCAGACCACAAGCCGTTGGAGCACATACTGAAGAAGCCGATCTCTGTAGCCCCTGCTCGTCTGCAGCACATGATGTTACAGCTGCAGAGATACGACATAAAGATCGTGCACCGGCCCGGAAAAGACATACCTGTGGCCGACACACTGTCCAGGAAACCATTGCTCGACCAAGACAGCACGCTGAGCGAAGGCATGGAAGATCAGATCCACTCAGTGATAAACAGCCTCCCAGTAAGTGACAAAAAACTCTTAGAGATACAGGCTGCAACAAGATGCGACCCGCAGCTCACCCTGTTGAGGCAAACCGTGCAGGATGGTTGGCCTGAGGACAGAAAAAAATGCCCCAAAACCCTGTTGGACTTCTGGAATTTCCGAGATGAAATTTCGCATTTCCATGGCATCATCTTTAAAGGTGACAAAATCATAGTGCCCACAGCCCTAAGAAACAATATGCTGGAGCGAATCCACACTGGGCACATGGGGATTGAGAGGAGTAAGCAGAGAGCAAGGGACGCCCTCTTCTGGCCAGGCATGGGCAGAGATATAACTGCCACGGTGGAAAACTGTTCCATATGTCAGGAGCGGCGCGCAGCGAATCCCAAAGAACCTCTCATTCCACACCAGATCCCTGAGAGACCATGGCAGGTCGTGGCCTCAGATCTATTCACATGGCGTGGACGGGACTACTTAGTAGTTGTGGACTATTACAGTCGCTACTTCGAGGTTGAAAGGCTATTCACTACCACCGCAGGGTCCGTCATCAAAAAGCTCAAGGCCATATTTGCCAGGCATGGCATACCAGAGAAGTTTGTCTCGGATAATGGACCACAGTATAGCTGTCGAGAGTTCAAGGATTTTGCAGTCACATGGGACTTTGTCCACACGACCTCAAGCCCTTTGTACCCACAAAGCAACGGCCTTGCTGAAAGAACAGTTCAAACGGCCAAATCAGTTCTGGATAAAGCTCATGCACAGGGAGTTGATCCATACCTGTCTATGTTGGAGCAAAGGAACACGCCAGTCGACGGCTTCAGATCACCTGCGCAGCTCCTCATGAGTCGACGTCTG